ACTAGATGATGTAGGTCTTAATCGATATAATACGTTAGATGTCTCGTTCGATGAGTCATGTTTTGAATAAGTACGACTTATGATGTGTTTGTATATCATATTTCAGACATAGTGAATAAGCTTTCCCCCTTCGTCTCAGCTGCGAGGAAGAGAGGGGCAATTTAAGAACAACTTGTTGGGTTTCTCCTTATTTCTCTTTTAATAGACTTTTCACGTTATTGTTTCCGTTTCGAGTCATGATAAACCAGTGAAAACGTCAACTCAGTTGAAATTCATGCAATATGGAATATTATATGGTGACGGATTGTAATTGAAGATTTTGATCAATGAAAAAGTAAACCTCACGTTACACAGATTTACGTGGCACTTCTCATTCGCTGCGAATGAGCTTACTCTAGGGTTTTGCCGCAATCGCTTACACCAATTAATACTTAACTCCTAATCAACAAGGTAAACATGAGTTCAATAATTAAACAAAAGGAGAAAAACAAAACATTAACCTTATACATACGCTACAATAATCCACATGATACAACATCACCAGAAAATAATGTCGCGTACAAGACATGGTGTCAAGGACAATGCAACACCAGTCACATATAAAAGGTTGAAAATGCGACCTCGCATTATTGCGAATCCGGTTTCTCAAATTTCCCATAAACAAAGTGATCATTCACGAAAGGATCTAAAAACAACTTTGCTTACATCTAGAGTAGTGATTGAAACATGCATATAGATATAGGGAGCAACCCATTAGATCCTTTGTTGCTATAGCTCCATGTTATATACCTAGATATTTGATCTATGGTGAACACATGACACTATTATGGGAAATGAAATTGTGTTGTTGATCGTGAAATGAACGATGGTGAATGGAGATAAGGTTCTCTTGTCCAATTCAAAACACTGTGACAAGTCCTGGTGGGACCTTTTTGCAATTTGGAGAGATCGATGTTTATGTATCCATATATAAATATACCCTACCACCACTTTGTGTTTTGAGCCATTCAATGTGCTCCATCCATCATCACGCGGCACATACTCGTCTGAAATATGTGAAGCTTTTTTGTACTACTGGTTTAGTTCCTTTGAAAAGCACTCAGCTAGTTTGAGACATTTTAATTTGTAAGACATGGGGGTTTAGTGATCATTGCATATGTAGCATCTAAGTTAGTGGTACTAATTATGTTGTATGATTCTGAGGTGTAAAGGATCGAGACTCTGTGAATCCCTTCGATCATGTGAATCGTTTCGATTTGTTGCTCATTTTTGTTCTTTATAGTCGTTGTTATGAATTATCTGCTTCGTACGAGTGTTACTAACAGAGTCGGGTCAAAATTTTGACATTACTTGATTCGGGCGAGCTCAGGATTTTGTGAAATTCTCATGACATCTTTCTTTCAATTAGTAGTCTTTTTTTTTTGCATTAAGGGAGGCCGAGGCCAAGAAAAAGAGAGGAAGGAGTTACAGGGCTGCAGGCGCCCTCACTTGTCGCTCCAAAGCAACTCCCATTACATCATCACTAATGATATGAACTAACCCTCTTGGCGGATTAGGAAGTTCATGCATACCGTAGGGATAGACGAGACTGTGCTTCGAGAGCCAGTCCGCGACTCTATTCCCTTCCTGGTAAGTATGAACTATCCTAACCAGCCAGCTCTGAGCCAGTTTCCTCCTGATAGCGTCAAGTAAAGAGGCATAAGGATGCACAGGATCTCGTCGGTGATTAATCAGCTGAATAGCCAGCTGAGAGTGTTTTTTTTTTTCCGGGTAATATCTACTTCGTAAGAGTGCATTGATAGCTCCTAGTTGGAGTTTTGACGTAAACCTAATTTTATAGTGTGTTTTTTTCGGGTAAAAATGAAATTACAAATATTATCTTAGTAATCCAAATACGAATCTTATACAAATTCCTTACCACAAACGTATATCATATCCTAATTAATTAGCAAACTTAATCAATTTTTACAATTTCCAGCCCATCAATTCCTTATAATCTCATGGCGGTCCAACACCACCACCTAATATATCTAAGCGCCAAACTACATAAGCCAAAAATTGCTCCTGGCCAGTTCATAGCCATTCATCCAAGGCGCCAAAAACATCAATTTCTACAAAAGGGCAAATAAATTCACCCCCCAAAAAACCCCCCAAAAAAAAAACAAATTGATATCCTACCCTTAATTAATTACTAGAGTTATTGCGTAATATCATATTTTGTTTGTATATTTTGGTGGGTACAGCTCCACGTGGCACGTGAGAGTGACGTGGATCCTCCCCACTTACGTAATTTTGGGGGTATTAGTGGAGGATTAGAGGGGGAAATTTTTGGAGTTTATTTATATACCCACGTGGAGGTTGGGTCCCTAATTTGGATGCGTTTGCCAATTGACATCATCAAGAGAGACAACTACACGATTGTATGTATTAGCATGGTGAAAGTACAATTTATCGTGATTAAAACTTCAAATTCGAAACCACAGAGTAATGTACATACACAAGGAAGGAACATATTTCGGGTTTTTGTGTTCTTATTTGGCTCGAGATCATGATTGACATCAAATTTTCTCTAACAAATACTTGAGGATCTATTCGATCACTTGAAGTCTTGAACATAATCATGAATCGTTGTTTCATCATAACTTGATCGGTATAAAATATACAAGTGATTAGTTGAATCGAAATCCAATTTTAACTTCAAATGCTCAATGTAGTTAGCTAAATAATAACTTGCGAGCGATTTGAATTACTGATCAATCATCGATATGTCTTTGATCAGCTAAACTTATCAAAGACATGTTTTGAGTGAAGAATACGATGTAATTGAATAGTTGAATATAGAAAATATGAAAAGGATAAAAAAAAATAAACGAAAAACTTTATTTCTAGTCCTACCCACTTGCCGAGAATCTCAATTTCCTTGAATGCCGTATAGTACTAGTTTGTTTGGACGTGTGTTTTATCCCTAACTTCCTTGTTGGATAAAAACAGCTAACGTTTATATTCCTTCTTTGTTGTTTGATTAGGGCTCTATCATAACCACCCTTTTAATTGGTTGTTAAATTTGGGTAATTCCGTTTTAGTACCAAATTACTATGGCCAAACTATCTAGTACTATGATGGCATGCAAAAAGTAAAAAGAAAACCAAGGCATTAGAGTTGGAAAAAAAACTTATGTTTGGGTATTGTTCAAATTCAATTTATTATGAGTCTAATTAAGTTAGAATAATTTTACTTTCGGCACATACTTGTATTCAATTTTTTAGTTTGGGTCTGAATTGGACATACAGTATCGGTTACATAAAAGAAAATGAATACTCAATTATACTGCGGTTTTTGTCTATTTTTGTTTATTAAACAAAAAAGGTGAAAATGTAAATTGAACCAATTAAAAACCAACCCAAACTCAAACTCATTAAAAATGCATGGTTCCGACCCAATACCTATATGAATAATGACAATTGAATCAAATTACCGAAGAAATCCATCCGTTGTATTCCGAGAGTGTAGCATGTGAATGATAATCAAGGCCAACTGACTCAGTTAGAAAAATTCCTGGTGCTAAATGAATTGCAATTAGTTTACTTTTATATTATACCATAATTAATCGAGTCATTTTCACCCAATTGAGGGTAAAAGTCATTGTCGTTTGTCAACAGAAAGTTTAATCATTGGCCTCTCATATATGTCCATTATGATGACAAGTGCATGATTGTTGATAACTTTGAGATAATGTAAGAATTTCTGTAATTTTTTTTCTTACTCTTAAACTTAGTTTGGACAGCTTACCTAATGGTGCATTTTTTTAAAAATATATATCCATAACAAGTTCAACTTAAGCTAATCCTAAACGATGGGGAATGATTTCAGAGTTCAGCAGTTCCTTAGACTCGAATGGATTAAAATATGGTATATGGGAGGATTCTGGTGATTGAGCTAACATTACTTATCAATTCTAGGCAAGAATCCTTGGAATATGGTGGACATGCATCTAGTGATCTAGATGCTACGTAGGTTTTGATATGACGATCAAATGGTTCTTGGCCAACGAGCGAGTAGATGTGTGAAGACTCCAACGTCACGAGTCTACAACGTCAAACAAATTGTGTTTCGCCAATTGAACACTCAAGGACAAGCTAGCAATCATATGTGATTCACATATGTACGGTAGTTCATGATAATACATTTTGTAATTGACATTTTTAGTTAAATAATACAGAAGCACTATGGAGAATGTCAGACGAGAGGAACAAACTAGTACCAAAAAACCCTACTAGATGAAATGTTTTTTTAAATAATTATCGTGTTCCTCCTATAAGTAAAACATACTCGTAATGATCCACCAGAATTATTTATACTTTCTAATTGACACTATATATATTAAAAGATTGTAATGATTTATCCAACCAACAACCATATATAGGACTTCTTGCATTATGAATGAAACCCAACCCAAATCACACAATAAAGTTATATTTTCTTATGAAAAAAAAAGATAAAAAATTGCTAAGAAAAACCACATAAACAATAATACAAACACAACAGTTTCGTGATTGTCTTAGTTTATTTTATTCTCACCATCCAATTTTTCGAGTGCTGAATTTTTTATTTGTTAAATTAATTTAGTTTCCTACCATCCATCTATTTTCTCCAATTTTTTTAAATTTCCCGAAACGCCAAAAAATGAATAATGCAGCCCAAATGACGTCCAAATTCACCTCAAATGAAACCCCCTTCCCTTTCTGTATATATACATGAACTCTTCCACAATCCCGCCTTATGAACAAGGTGGGGAAAAAAAAGAAGAAGAAATGGACTCCTCCTAGCAATTCAATTCCCTCTTTCTCCTTTCGCCCTTTCCATTTCTTCTTCTGAATTTTTTTTTCCTCCGACGGCCGGAGTTCCTTCCTCGAAAAGGGCGGGAAGAAAAGGACCGGCCGCCGGTTGCGCGGAAAACAAAAACCCCTTTATGATACGTACGCCGCCGCCCGCACCACCACATGGCGAAAGGCAACAGGAGGTTGACCACCAGCCGCAGCGAGCGCCTGCTCGGGGCCTACGGCGGCGGTTATAGCAACGGCCACCACCACGCCGCCGAGTCGGAGCTCCGGGAGGAGGACGTGTGGTCCACGCTCCACCACGACGACGATAACCGTTACGATCGGGACAACGGGTCGCTGAGCGAGTGGAGCTCACGCACCGGAAGCATGTCCATGTCGACGCGCCATCGGGCGCCACGCGGCGGCGGCGGCGGCCTGTCGTTGGCGTTCGAGGATTCCTCCAATAATTCTCCCTCGTCGGAGAAAATTCAGGCTGCCGCGACGGCGACGAGAATTGTGCACCAATTTGGCGGCAACGACCGGGCCGGAGGTGGGGCGGGAACCGGGCGGCACGTGGCGTCGTCGGCTCCGGTGAACGTCCCGGATTGGAGCAAGATCTACCGGATCGACTCGGTGGAATCGCTGCACGAAATGGGCAACGGTGGCGGGGGAGGGTTCGGCGGCGACGACGATCACGACGACTCCTCCGACGAGATGGTGCCGCCGCACGAGTACCTGGCGCGTGAGTACGCGCGGGGGCGGAAGAGTGGAGGGGCGTCGGTGTTCGAGGGGGTGGGGCGGACGTTGAAGGGGCGTGACCTGCGGCGCGTGAGGGATGCGGTGTGGAGCCAGACCGGGTTTTACGGCTGAGTAAAATTCGGTTACCTGAAGAAACCACCCAAAAAAATATATTTCTTATAAATATAGTTTCTTCCTTGCCATCCTTCCTTGTTCATCTCTTGATGTTTATTTTGTCTATGGTTTAGATTGTTTTTTCTAGAAGTTTTATGGTTTGGGCGATGATTCGGTTCGGCCGGGTTTACTGGGCGACGAAGGGAGTTGAGTCAAACCAGCCGGCAACTGAGCTCAAGCTGTTTTCTTGTTGTTTGTTTCTCCTATGAAATCAGAAAGGTGGGGTCGGACGGTTTGTGGTCTCAAAGCCAAGTTCCATAAAGAGGGCTATTTTGGTAAAAATGTTAATGGTAATTAAGTTTTTGAACTAATGTTCTTTCTAATTACTATTATTTATGACAAAGTTCATGCATCTTTGTATACCAAACTAGCTTAATGTAATAAAGATAAAGATTGGATTTCCACTTCTAATGGAAGGAGATGGTTGGGATATATATAGCACAAGTTTGACAAGATCAGTGATGTAGTTGATGATTCTTTAAATAGAGTACCGTGTCTCGTTAAAGCTCATAAATCCTATAATGAATTAGATGATTGGACGAAAAAATTTAAAATTCAGAGAAGAATGGAGTTGATGTTTAATTTTCATTCTATCGGGAGATGGATTTAGACAAAAATTAAGTATGCTACAAATCGGTGTTTGTAAATGTGAATGGTGAAGTAGCTGAATGGCAAGCTTCAATATGATGTGCTATAAATTAATCCACAAACTCATTGTATATGAGGTAGTTCAACCGACTCTTAGAAGTAAATCTGCTCATCTAATTCATTTGTTTATACACCTATGTCAACTTGCTTAAGATTTGCAATCGAATTATAATCGCCTTACTCGTCCTTTACCCACAAGATGTAAGGAAGGAGTTTTCACTATTCAATTTATATAACTCTTACCTTAACTTTGTTTGTCACATATTCTGTAAGCAATATCATCTCAACCGTTAGTACGAAGTCGAAACTGAATGGACCACAATCTAACAACTTGTGCCCAATGGCTCTACCTTTGGCCATCATGTCATTGCCCTCTAACTTTGGCTTACCCTTTTCAGAGAAAGTGATACGCCCATATCCACCCACATCCTTCCAATTGCAAACTCCCATTTCCTCCTTTTCCATGGACCAGTGAATTTGGCACTCCAAGCTCCATATTCTTTCATCGATCACCATTGCTATTTAAACAAAAAGAGTTAGATGCTACTACGTTACGTACAGGTTCTCGTCCCATTAAGCTGGCTAGCCAGATTATTTGGTGGACTTGGAACAAATTAAAGATGGAGCGTGGAATTCTAGATTCTGAGCAATTCAAAGGTATTAACTAATTCAACTGTTGAAATAAATTTTTAGAAGGATCATTGTTTGATATATAATTATGATTTGAAATAGAATTTATTATTATTATTATTATTATTATTATCAAATGACATGTTTATCCTTAACTAAAAGACCCAAAATGGGTCGAGAAATATTTAGAAGTTATTGATGAGGGTATATGGTGGAATAAATAAGAAAGAAAGAGAAAAAACTCACAAATAAAGATGTAGAACTCTTTGATAATGAGAGATTTTATAGCTAGACTATACGACTCCCACTTGAACTATAATAATGGATCAATAGTTAGTTCGATATACTATTTATCAGGATAAACAGTCGTAATTAATTTGTTGTTTAAGGCTATTAGGCTAAGAACATGGCCCATGAGTCAGACAAGCATCTTTGATTGAGATTGTGGTGATAATCACATCACAATCAAGCGGCGGAAGATTCTGGATTGATCCAGTTTTGTAACCGAACATGAGTAGAACTTGGTTCGTGCTGTCTTGGTTGGTTCGGTCCAATTCCCAACCCATCGATGTCCAATGGGCCTTCCCAAGTTTGTATTGCTTTGAATTCCCTTTGTGATTTGGTTATTGAGTTATCGGATTAGAAAAATTAATAAATAATGGTTTTGGAAGAAGTTAATTCTATTCACGTGGATAAGAATCGAATTATCGACCTTATAATAACTAAAGGATAATTTAGATATCGAACTCATTTATCATCAATACAATTTAATTCGTATTTTATGCAACAACTACAGTTTTTCTTATTGACCACTCTCAAAGTTGAAGGGTTATTCTTGACATCGATTTTCATAAATCCACAGTAAGAAACTATAGTTTTACGTTCGCTTGATGAGCGACGCATTCTAGTTTTTTTCTTCTTTCTTCTTTGTTTCGAGCTTTAAATGAAAACGGTTTGAGCCAAAATGCCCGGGAGCCTGATTCTTAGAGCGCTCGCTTCACTTCTCATGATTTTTAGGCGCCTGACCTGTGCACATGTACAGAGAAGGGGGCGCCTGGGCCTGTAACCCTCCAACGATCAAGTTAGTCTTTTTCTTAGAGAGAGAAGTGTCTAACTTCAGAATTTAGTGACAGAGTCCAACCCGTATAAATGCTAGCTACCGACCCTAGTGTTCCATGGCCATCATGGACTTGAGGTTCATGGGAAAGATAACATTCGGAGGACCAGTCAAGATGTTTTCAGCAAAGAACCCCACGGACCTGTCGGTAGGATTGGATGAATCCCAGAAGACATACTCATCCCTGTTCAAACACAGATTCGACGCCGGCGTGCATTGCCCTAGTCCGTTATAAGGACCCTGTCCACAACAAGCCACCTTCGTCTCCGTGAACCCTACATAACCCATGCATCATAGTTAGTAAAATACGATACAGAAAAATTACGTATAAAATACGTACGGATTGTTTTACTTCGTCTCTAGGTTAATGTTACATTTAATAGTACGTTTAATAGTAATAAATATATAAATGAATTATTTTAAAATAAATTAATAATTATAAAGTTAACAATTTTATATTCATTAAATAAGGATTTTTAAACGTGTTATACGGGTTTTATACGTGTTTAGTACGGGAGCAATCATGAATGAAAAAAAAAAAATGAAACGGCTTGACAATAATATAAATAGGAAAGTTTTCAACGGATAAAATACGTACAGAAACATATACGAGTATTACACGGAGTATTATGCATAACCAATGTAAACGAAGAGTTATGTTTCTTACCGTAAGCCTCAGGATTGTCGATGAGCTCGTTGGCCAATGTAACTGAATTGGCTGCAACAAAGAAAACGCCGCCGAGTCGACCGTTCAGCCGCCGGGCCAACCGATTCAGCTGCGAGTCGAAGAGAGCCGCCGCGTTCTGGAGCTCAGGGTCGCACTCCCCGTCGTCGGCGCTGCCCCTGGTTGCCAATATCGCCGGCCAGCACCCGAACGGGCCGGCTCCGACCACCACCGTCCGGCGAGCCCCCAGCTCGTACATCCTCACCAGGATTTTGGATAGCTCGGAGATGAGGAGATCGACGAACTCGGCGACGGTGTACTGGCTGGCGCGGGCCGAGAAAGGGAGCCGGTAATAGTTGTTGACGAAATCCAAGGCGCCGGCGGTGACGAGGAACACACCCTCGTTGACTAGTCGCTCAGCCTGTTCTCTTCCTCCGGCGACCACGGCCGCCAGCTGATCCTTGTATCGCTGGAAGGCTTCCAATTGCTCCGGCATCGTTATTATGTTCCCCTGGCACCACCGCCCATCGTGAAACCAAAATGAATAAATCCATCGTCTAATCTTTTTTTTAATAACTCGAATTATTAAAATAAGTTTGTTTATGATATAATATGAACTGGTTGAAATACGCAGCATGACAGAATGGGTCTATGTGAATTGACTTTCATTTGAGAGATGAGTGCGTAAGTGGTTAAGGTACATATATATATATATTAACATCTCTCGCAAGTCGCAACAACTTAAATTATCGGGACCGATTGGTATACGATAAATGAAAATAAAAAAGGAAGAGAGCTTACTTGCTGGACTCCGGTGTCATTCAGGATCCCCGCTCCGCCGGAAGCGAAGTTGGCACCGTAAAGCAGCCTCTCCCCGTTGAGTCGTGGGCTCAAGTACGGCAATGGAGGCTGCGGCTGCTTCAGTGCTTCACCTGTGTACTTACATGCATATATTCTCTTGTGACCGAACGGGAGATCGATCGAACAATAAAAGAAAGTAAAGAACATACAAACTTCTACGGAGACATATTACAGTGATTGACAAGAACTACATATAGTACATTGCCACATATAATCTGATCATTAAACTTTAAATGAATGACACATAATCTGTATTCAAATGATCATAACAACATATTGTTAGTGTTGTGGTATATGATCCACGATTGAACCTCTCCCAACAACTCGAGTTATTGAGATCAACTGGTTCTTGACATATCCGATCCCAAATAACACCATATTTAATTGGTTTTGATTTCCCAACATGCATAATTAAACAGTGAACCAAGGTACGTACTGATGAAATCGGCTAGGTTGCGGTTATTAGAGAAACGGCCGGTGGGGAGGCCGGCGGGAGAGTCGATCCCGTACGGCGGCGAGTCGGCCTTCACCGTCGTGTCCAAGTAAACGTTGTTCCCACTGTCCCCACGGGAACCACCGAACACATACAGCGGGACAAAATCCGGGCCGGACGCCTCGACCCGGGTAACCAAACTACGGCCCAACATGGCTAAGCCCACGACCAGGCCCAACATTTTCGCAATTGCAGAACGGGTAGCCATGGCGGACAGAGAGAGACTCATGACAAGCTATTATATATAATGTCACGGCAGAGCAAATGGTTATGCACTAATTCTCAATACTCTTTTTTCTACTCACTCCCCCACGGCTCTCCCTTCTTTCTTTTCTCGTTTCATTTTCTCATCACTTCCCACTTGCACACACAACACAAACTTCTCTCCCCTTCACGTTCATTTGTGGTTGTCTAATTGATACACATGTAGCCTCTTGGGTGAATTGACTGATTTGTGTATTGATGCAACTTATGATAGCGAAATTCCAGTTGTTCATCTTGTTTTGTTGGAACAATCAGAGCAATTACATTGGACATCGATGGATGGTAGTTATTCAAGATTTAAATATCAACGAGAACTCAACATTAACATAGGAACTCGATTTTTTGATATTGGTCAATTCGAGTATTATGCTTAACTATTTGTGTTCGAGTTCCAAAAGCAAGTGAGCTTTGCAAAATAACTATAAAATATCAACCAGTCTTTCCAAATTGTTGGTTTCTATCAGGCAGTATCTATCTACATGAGTTCCTTTGTCGATTTTCAAAATAATTTTGTAGTGTGAATTCTTCAACATTGAAGAATATACAAACCAAAATAATTTCTTCTTAAACTTTGTTTACCATGCCTCTATCTTCTTCGAATCCCTACAGCGAAAGTTATTGTGTCTCATTGATTTCTTTGCTTCTTTATTTCCATGTTCAACTTTTATTTATTTATCTGCCTAATGAAATTTGGGAGGAAGGTTTGAAAGTTTGATGTGGCATCGATGCGATCAAACCGCTAAATCTATCTTTCAAACCGCATAGTATCTCATTCGCAGTTCAATTGTACCGCACAGTGAGCTCGTAGTATGCATGCTTTTGTTGCGATTTGTGATGTTTAATTGCAAAGATGGAAACATATGCAGGCCCAGAAGTCGAGGTATCTTAATGGAGGATGCACTTACAATTGAGGGTTTCGATAGTTGTACGAGAGAGAATTTGGTCCAAAATTTCGGCTAGAGCTACTGTTCTGGCCCTGTGACCTCACTGTCCAATTTTACGAACGTGCGGTCCGATTGATGTGCGATATGGTGCGATTTTGTGTAAATGCCAGACGGTTCAACTACACCACTTGCCCATCTTTGGCTAGCGTCAATTCATATCTCCTACGTACATAAATATGTGTAGTTTGTGTTTATGTAATATTCTAGAACAAGAGGTTAAGTTGATAGTTTTTATTATAACATTCTGAAAATTATACATAGGTAATGGGACTACAAGTGACAAGATTACATGAAATCTGACCCTTTCTTGATCAGGAATCTCGAGAAAAGTCAGCTCAGAATCTTTTTAGCTCTCGTGTTCCATGGCGAGCATGGTATTGAGGTTGATTGGGAAGACAACGTCTGCAGGACCACTCAAGATGCCTTCCACAAATAACCCCTCAGCCTTGTCGGTTGGATTGGTGGAATCCCAAAACACATACTCATCCCGGTTCGGACACAGATTCGACGCTGGAGTGCATTGCCCTAATCCGTTATAAGGACCCTGCCCGCAACAAGCCACCCTCGCCTCCGTAAACCCTGAAAAGCATAGTCATCATATAGAAATAAATTTTCTCGTTACTAATTGGTGATATTTCAAATGGTACAATAACTAGTTTGGTAGGGTTCGATTTTTCCCCCGTTTTTTACTATGGATAGCCATGTGATTCTAGTGTATCTCATTTCTCTCGTTAATAATACGAAATAATATCAAAATTACCGTAAGCCCCAGGATTGTTGCGGATCGCGTTGGAAATCGTAACGGCATTGGCAGCGGTGACGAAAACGTAACCGAGTCGGCCGTTCAGCTGCTGAACCAACCGGTTCAACCGGGTGTTGAAGAGAGACGCCGCGTTGAGGAGCTCGGCATCGCAGTACTCCCCGTCGGCGGTTCCCCTGATTGCCAAAAGCGCCGGCCAGCACCCGAACTCGCCGGACCCGAACACCAGCAAACGGCGAGCCCCCAGCTCGTTCAGCCTCAGCAGGATTTTGGATAGCTCGGAGATCAGGAGTTCGATGAATTCGACGATGGTGTACTGGCTGGCGCGGGACGAGAAAGGTGGCGAGTAATAGTTGTTGACGAAATCGTCGGAGACGATGGAGAGGAGGAACACTCCGTTGTTGACTAGTCGCTCAGCTTGTTCTCTTCCTCCGGCGACTTGCGCCCCCAGCTTGTTCTTGTATTGAGGGAAGGCTTGCAATTGCTTGGGGATCGTTATTATGTTGCCCTAGTACAATAACACCAATGAGAAGTAGTAAGAGTAGTAGTAATGTTATAATACGAGTATTGATGACAGAGTTGGATATATTCCTTGTCAGAGTCGTAGAGGTTGGATGATTTTCGTATTAGTATTAGGGCTATTATTAGAATCAGTTATTGTAATCTTTATATTTTAGTAATAACATATAAGGTGGCGTTTTCAGTGCACTCGCTTTTTTGGTTACATTCAGTGCACTCGCTTCATAACCGTCATTTTAAACATGCGATTTATACCAAAATGATATCAATCATCACTTATGATGTGACGAACAATAACGCACATGGATTTGCACAAAAACCATCAAAGATTTACTTTAATTTGAAGGATTTAGAGTTTAGAGATTTAGGGTTAGGGTTGGGGTTTACAATTTGGGGTTTAGGGATAGAACTCAAAATTGGAGGTCTAGGGCTTAGGATAATTCGCTAATAAGTTGTTATCATATGTTATATCATCATATTGCACTAATCTACAAACTCATATAAAGAGATTCCGCTTGAGGGATGTACTAAAACATGAATTGGAGTCCGGAGCGCATCTCAAGGAAGGCTACCAACGTCTTTTCCTTTTTTATTTATTTCAATCGCTTCCATTTATTCCACTGAGCCGTGAGGCCCCAAGGCTACAGAAGTTGGGCTTCTTTTTTATCTTTTTGCAGAATCCTCTTTCTAATTTTAGTTTAAGGTTATAGAATTTTATTTTATGTATTCAGTACTTATAAGTACTAAGCAGAATAATATTATGCTAATTAAAAGGTCAACCTTCACATCAAGTTCGCCAACTTCAACATCCACAAGATCGAGCATTTGATACTCTTATTCTATAGACCTTCATCTTTCATATAAAATACAGGACTACAAATTTCTATTTGTATAGACATATTTCCTTGAAACGGTTAATCTAAAGATGAATGTGAACGATATAAGCCGTACAAAACATATCACATATTATAACTATTACTGGTTGACCTTATCGGTTATAGGGTCAATCAAAATTTTCCGTCAAACTCCATATAAAATTTACTTGCGTTTTGACCACATCATCGTAGGCATACCCCAACCAAAAATATAAACATTTGTTTTGTTAACTCCCACAGAAAGCATACATTTTCTTCCAACCCCATTCAGATTAACTTTCAAAGTTTAAGTAATTCATTAGAGGAAAGTTCATATGTGCATGTAATATGTAGTAAGAACTAAAATACTATGAAATTTTTTTAGCAAGATGTTTAAAAAGTTGAGCGAAAATGGTAATGCTAATGACGATATAATCGCGAAGTCCAAGAGAAAATTTGCTGTCATTTCTCAATCGACATGTTATTTCAATTGAACACATTTTGTAGGAGTTGATTCCCTTGCAAGATTTTTTAGATTTGTGTAATGACATTAGTAGAATCAATTAGCATGTCACAAACAATTATGATCCACGTAGTTTTATTTTTATTTTTCCCATAATGAAATATTTAGATTCTTTTATGATAGCAAATAAAAACGTAATTTTCTTCAAATAATTTCTATTAATTTCTATTGTTATTTATATACTTTATAAATGTATCCGGCCAACGGGCCGGGTTTAAATCTAGTTCTACAAATTAAAATTCAAAATCCGACAACTTAAGACTAGTTTTTGAGTTGGGTGCACTGAACGCACTCATTTTTGTGAGTGCACCGAAGTAGTCACCTAACATATAATAGTTTTCCACAAATTGTGATTACCAACACCGATTCACCATCACGATGTGGGTTAGCTAATACATAAGTATGAGAGATCAGTTTCAATATTTTTAAAAAGGTACAAATTAATCCTACAAACAATATAAGGAGAGATTCTATATCACCACCCACCCAATTCAATTTTTTCTTGCTTCTGCGCACATTGCGGAAGGGTCATTTTGTCTAACCCTAAAGACCGAAAACACTACACAAATGTGTGTAGCGTCGTCAAAAGGGCTTGCTTACCAGACGAAGTCCGGTGTCATTCAAGATCCCGGCTCCGGCGGAAGCGAAGTTGCAACCGTAAAGCAGCCGTTCCCCGGAAAGTTGTGGGCTCAAGTATGGCGTTGGTGGCTCCGGCAGCTTAAGTGCTTGACCTGTGTTAACATACATGTATGTCCAACGTGGTGAACGTATACGTACGTACACCATTATTAGAGAAAACGTATACTAATGAAAAATCAAGATGCGTACTAATGAAATCGGGTATGTTGCGGTTATTAGAGAAACGGCCGGTGGGGCGGCCGGTTGGAGAATCGATCCCGTAAGGCGGCGCGTCTGCTTTCACTGTCGTGTCCAAGTAATTGTTGTTCCCACTGTCCACAAACGTACCGCCGAAGACAAATAGAGGGACAAAATCCGGGTCGGACGCCCCGACCCGGGCTACCTGCAGACTACAGCCCAACATGGCTAAGCCCACGACCAGGCCCACCATCTTCGTCATTGCAGAAAGGCTAGCCACGGCGGACAGAGAGAGAGAGAGAGAGAGAGAGAGATTAGAGTAATGTGAGTGATTATGCACAAGATGGGTTTATAGGGAAGCCGTGACAGGCTAGCTCTTATATAATGGCAGCATGGCAGAGCAAACGATCATTCACTCTCAATACTCTTTTTCTACTCACTGACCCACACGCCTCTCTCTTCTTTCTTTTTCTCACTTTCATTTTCTCGTTACTTCCACTTGCACACACACAACAAAAACTTCTCGATCTCCCTTCACATCCATTTTATAGAGTCGTCTAATTGGTTACAAATCTATCTTTCGGAGACATAGATTATTGTAACATATGAATATAACCCTACTGATCTCTAGATCTTGTGTTGGAGGATTGATTGATTTAAGTATTGAAGAAGGACCCCACGCGCGAGAATGAAGTTCTTTGTTAGTTGATCTTGTTTTGCAGGGATTATTAAAGCAGTCTGACAACGATCGGTAGTACTTATTCAGTATTTAAATAAATTCGAGAAATGAACCGACTTTAAAACTCGATTATTGATAGTATGATTGACCATTTGTGTTCATCTTCCAAAGTAAATAGCCTCCTTTATGTAAGAGAGGCGGAGGCAGGGGAGGAAGCTCCCTCGCGGACCCACCTTGACTTTAGATTACAACAAAAGAAAAAAGGAATATTAGAAATATAAAATTTGTACATGTTAGAAATGTTCGATTTCTATCTTGCAAACAACTTGTATCAGTAATTTGGATGAGGCGAAGTGCAAAATTTAGTGATACAAACGTATGATGAATGTTAAAATATCTAAAAGCTTTCAAAACTAAACACGTGAGTTTTATCATAATGTCGCCCTTCAAGAGAGTTTTATCTAAATAGCCTCGATGTATGTTTTTTTTCTTCTTTCTCTCTTCTTGCTTACAATTTGCTATAGCGTGCGTCAATTCAAATCTCCTACTTCAAATCTTCCTCATCGCCAATGTAATTTGTAGGGAGTTTATCATGGAATTGAATGCTAGCTAGCTCTGAAAGTCAAAGATCCAGCACACCAAAATTTTGTGTCCTGTAAGGCTTTCGGCAGTATCCATGCCGAACATGGAATTGAGGTTTATCGTGTTTGCATGAATAAGTTGATGTCTTCAGTCTTAGGGTTTGAAGCAAACTAATACTCCCTTGTTGCCGGACGAAATTATAATCTTAGTTCACAAATATGTTAGATAATAATTTATCTTGAATAGGGTAAATAAGCTTCAAAATTGAATTTATCATTGCATCCACCTTGTTGATGACTCAATGGTAAACTCGATTCGACATTGATATTTAGTTATGAAGTGATGTATAATAACAGTCGATCTAGAGCATAAGTTAATAGTTTGTATTTATTTATATAATATTCTAAAATTTATACATTGGACAGGTAATTAATGAGACAACAAGCTCTCAAAGCAGGTACGCCACCAAAACGCCGCCAAAGTTCCGATAAAAGCTTATAAGCACAGGATTCGACCATATAAAAACGTATTTATGTATAAAAATACATAAATTGTAAATCTAGATATCCTGTTTCAGGGCCAGCATGGAATTGAGGTTCATTGGGAAGACAACGTCTGCAGAACCAGTCAAGATGCTTTCTGCGAAAAACCCCGTAGCCCTGTCTGTTGTATGGATGGAATCCCAAAACAGAAACTCATCTCGATTTGGACACAGATTCGATGCTGGCGTGCATTGCCCTAGCCCGTTATAAGGACCCTGTCCGCAACAAGCCTCTTTCGTCTCGATAAACCCTGGACAACATGTATGGTCATCATCATATAAAATAAATCCCAATTCGAAAATTTGATGCGTAGGCCATTACGGAAGTGTTACGCGCAATGAATGTCCCTTTTTACGTAATGAATGTCAACGTCTTGTTTCGTAAAGTGTTAAGCCATTACGAAAACACAAACGCATACATAACACGCTCTGATTTAACTGGTACGTAACATTATTACCGTAAGCCCCAGTACTGTTGAGGATGTCGATGGACAGCGCAGCGGAATTGGCAACAACGACGAAAACGTAACCAAGCCGATCGTTCAGCTGCTGAACCATCCGATTCAGCTGGGAGTTGAAGAGAGACGCCGTGTTCTGGATAGGGGTGGCTATACGGTCCGGTCCGGTTAAATTGGCCCAAATTGATCCGGTCCAGTCCGGTTTTTTTGAAAATATAAGGACCGAAGATTGGATTGGATACAGTCCGGTCTTGATCCGGTCCGGTCTTGACCCGGTCCGGTCCCAATTCGGTCTTGATTTTATATTGAGATTGTGGAAATTTGAGTGGCCTAAGGCCTAAAAGGGTGAGGAGTTGGTTAAGTTTTGTACTAAGTGTAAAGGTTTGTGACCGTTTATGCAAATTACCCTTAAGTTTTGGGTGTTGAGCTCTCTTATCCGGTCTTTATCCGGTTTTTTACCTCAAATCTAAGCCCAAAGATTGGATTGGATTGTTTACTATCCGGTCCCGGTCCGGTCTCGGTCCGGGTTATACGGTCCGGTTTCCGGTTTTTCATCCGGTCCCGGTCCAAATAGCCAGCCCTAGTTCTGGAGCTCCGGATCGCACTCCCCGCCGGTGCTGCCCCTGATTGCCAACTGTGCCGGCGAGCACCCGAACTGGTTCGCCCCGGTGACCAGCATCCGGCGAGCCCCCAGCTCGTACAGCCTCAGGAGGAATTTTGATAGCTCGGAGGTGAGGAGATCGACGAACTCGGGGACAGTGTACTGGCTGGCGCGGGCGGAGAAAGGTGGCGAGTAGTAGTTGTCGGTGAAATCGGCGGAGCCGACGGCGAAGAGGAACAATCCCTTGTTGACTAGCCGCTCAGCCTGTTTTGTTCCTCCGACCACCACCGCCGCCAGCTTCTTCTTGTATTGCTGGAAGGCTAGCAACTGCTTGGGGATCCTTATTATGTTGCCCTACGTAGAAAGGAAAAAAAGAAAAGGAGAATTTATCAAAACTCATTCACAACAACTCAAATTATGTTGCCCTACGTAAACACCAGCATTGAAGACCTGTGAATTGGTTAATGATAATTAAGCTATTTCCACAGGCTCGTCAGGAGTACCAAGCCCGTCAGTCTCAGGCCCACCACACTATCACTGGTAATGCCTCTTCCTCAGGTCCATGGTTGCTCGATTCGGCTGCCTCTCATCATGTCACCTCTGATCTCGGCAATTTATCTCTTTATTCGGACTACAACGGCCCGGATGAGATTCTTGTTGGCGATGGCACAGGTTTGAAAATCACGCACATTGGGTCTTCCATGTTACAAAATTCTGCAGCTACCTTTCAATTACGTGATGTGTTGTGTGCCCCTGCCATCAAGCGTAAACTTATCTCTGTGGCTAAGCTTTGTCGTACTAATCCCATTTCGGTGGAATTTTTTGCTGATTGTTTTGTTGTGAAGGATCTGTGCACGGGGGCGCCGCTACTGAAAGGGGCAAATAATGGGGATGTCTATGAGCTGCCTAGTGATGTGGGACCCGTCTGTCTTGCTCTTGTCACCACACGTACCTCCTCTGCATCGTGGCATGCTCGCCTTGGTCACCCCTCCACTCATTCCCTCACCAGTCTGCTTCGTGCTCACTCTTTACCAGTATCATCTTCTCTCGTCAGTGGTCATTGCAACTCTTGTCTTTCCAATAAAAGTCATAAACTTCCTTTTGCTGTTTCCTCTTTATCCAGCACTAGACCATTTGATTTATTGTATACGGATGTTTGGGGGCCAGCTCCGGTCCCCTCCATTGATGGTTTTCGTTATTATCTAATCATCGTTGATCATTTTTCCCGGTATACCTGGTACTATCCTCTCAAACGAAAATCTGATGTTCTTGATGTGTTTATCGCTTTTCGCAAGATGGTTGAGAACTATTTTTCAACCACTATTCGTCGTCTTTACTCTGACGGTGGTGGTGAATTCCAAAAGTTATGCTCCACTCTTGTTGATCATGGAATTAGTCATCTTCTCACTCCTCCGCATACTCCTGAGCATAATGGTCTGGCTGAACGGAAACATCGCCATCTTGTTGAAACGGGTATCACCCTCTTGCATCATGCTAATTTACCTACTATCTTTTGGTCTTTTGCCTTCTCCACTGCTGCTTATTTGATTAATCGCCTACCATCCTCTGCATTGCGTGGTCACATCCCCTATACGACCTTGTTTAACGTTGCTCCCAACTATCATAAACTTCGTGTGTTTGGTTGTCTCTGTTATCCATGGTTGCGACCCTATTCCTCACATAAACTCGATCCCCGCTCACGTCCCTGTCTGTTTATTGGTTACTGTCCTCAACGCAGTGCATACAAATGCTTTGATCCTCAAACTTCCCGTATCTTTCTATCTCGCCATGTTCACTTTGTCGAAAATTCCTTTCCTGGCTACTTGTCTAACCCTCCTGCAGGTTCCTCCTCTGTGGACTCATGGATCTTTGACACGGGCCCTCACATCACTCACCTACCACTACATGGGCCACGGCCCACAGCAGCTCCCCCTGCCTCATTCCCTTCGGTTCCCGGCGCTGCCTGCACAGGCTCTTCACCCGGCCCGTCACCGACTGCCCAGCCCAGCGGGCCCCCGCCCTCATCCTTGGGCTCACACGGCCCACTCCCTTCAGCTCCTGGCGCCGCCCATGCCGGCCCATCATTCTCTGCTGGGCTGTCTGCTTCAGCCGAGCCCTCTTCTGCTACTGGGCCGTCCCAGCCTATCGGGGTTGAGACTTCCTCCCCCCTGCCAACTATTTCCAGGTCGCGGGCTCCCCCTCCCCTCCTCCGCACCCACAGAATGACCACCCGGGCCCAGGATGGCATTTATAAACCCAAGAAGTTGTTTTCGGCCAATGTTACCACTCGCACTCCTCCCCTGGAGCCTCGCTCCGTCAAAGAGGCTATGCAATATTCGGAATGGGATACTGCTCTCCGCACGGAACACTCTGCTCTTCTTCGGAATCACACCTGGGATCTTGTCCCCCGCCAGCCTCATTATAATGTTCTTGGCAACAAATGGGTATATCGTATCAAACATCATTCTGATGGTTCTATCAATCTCTTCAAGTGCCGTCTGGTTGCCAAGGGGTTTCATCAGCGCCCTGGTGTGGATTTTCAGGATACCTTCAGCCCAGTGGTCAAACCGGTCACAGTCCGTACTGTTTTCTCCATTGCTCTCTCCTGTAATTGGCCCATTAAGCAGTTTGATGTCAACAATGCTTTTCTGCAAGGGCCTCTAGAAGACGAGGTCTATATGGTCCAACCTCCGGGGTTTGTTGATCCGGAGCATCCTACTCATGTTTGTCGGCTACGTCGTGCCATCTATGGGTTGCGCCAGGCACCACGAGCTTGGTACACTGCCCTCAGCACCTTCCTCCTCGAGTTTGGCTTCCGCAAGACCCAATCTGATGCGTCTCTCTTTGTCTATCATAAATCTGATGTCCTTCTCTACTTCCTGGTCTATGTGGATGACCTCCTTCTCACTGGAAATGATGCTGCCACTCTCTCCACCTTCCAGCAGGCTCTAGCGCACCGGTTCTCTCTTAAGGAACTCGGGGACGTGAATTATTTTCTTGGCATTGAGGTGATCCCCACGTCTACTGGTTATGTTCTCTCTCAACACAAGTACATGACTGACATCCTTACTCGCTTCAATATGTTGGACGCTGCCCCAGTTGCTACTCCTCTCGCATCCTCCACTACTCTATCTCAACATGATGGTACTTCTCCGACGGATGCTACTCGCTTTCGTCAGGCTCTGGGGGCCCTCCAGTATCTTGTGTATACTCGTCCTGACATAGCCTTTGCTGTCAACAAGTTGTCTCAGTACATGCATGCTCCCACCTCTCATCATTGGCAGTGTCTAAAGCGCTTGCTCCGGTACGTCTGTGGCACTATCTCCTATGGCCTCGCCATTCGGCGAGCTTCTGCACCCCTTCGCCTTACGGCCTTTGCTGATTCCGACTGGGCTGGTCATCTAGATGACCGCACCTCCACCTCTGCCTACCTCGTATACTTGGGCTCCACCCTCATTTCATGGCGTTCCCAAAAGCAACGCACCGTTGCCCGCTCGAGTACTGAAGCTGAATATCGTGCTATAGCCCATGCTACTGCTGAGCTCGAATGGGTTCAGAATCTCCTCACCGAGCTTCACCAACCATTAGCAGCCCCTCCTACGCTGTTCTCTGACAACCTGGGCGCCACCAATTTCAGTGCTAATCCTCTTTTTCACTCCCGCATGAAGCATTTGGCGCTTGACTTCCACTTCGTTCGTCAACTGGTCCAGGACGGCCGTCTTCGCGTCTGTTACATCCCCACAGCTCATCAGCTAGCCGACACTCTCACTAAGCCGCTACCTGCCTCCCGTTTTCTTCTTCTGCGGTCCAAGATTGGCGTCGTTGACACCTCCTCCATCTTGCGGGGGCGTATTAGAGAAAAAGAATAATAATTCTTTTTATTTGTTGTACATATTAGTTAGCCACTCTCCCTCTTTCTTGTACACGTTCCCACTCTCCCTCAACAAACTCTCCTGTAAATGTGTATAAAAGTGAAACTGAATACAAAGGTGAAGATCACGTTTGATTGCACCAATATTCTCTCTACAACAAATTCAATTCTCTATCATGGTATCAGAGCCTAGAACCGAAAGGTCATGTGTTCGAATCTCCATGACCCCCAATATTAATCGTTGTCTTTCGAGCACATGGTATGGTGGGCCTGTGCAAACTTCAAGCCCATGGGTTGGCTTTCGTTTGAGGGGGCGTGTTAGAGTGTGGTATAAGATCCAGCAGAACCCTCTCCCAACAACTCGAGTTATTGGGATCAACTGGTTCTTGACAGACCCATTGTCATCCCAGTCTCGACTTAACAGGTATTGTTTCGAATTCTTATAATTAACTACCCCAATTTAAAACAATGGTTTAAGACAAATGATGGTTTAATTTGTTTGTTCGGTAACAACTAACTAACGCAAATTAGGGCTGGCTTACTTGCCGGATTCCGGTGTCATTCAGGATCCCCGCTCCGCCGGAAGCGAAATTGCAACCGTAAAGCAGCCTTTCCCCGGTGAGCTGTGGGCTCAAGTACGGCAATGGAGGCTGCGGCAGCTTCAGTGCTACGCCTGAATACGTGCATGCATGTCCGGTCCCAAATATAATATATATCACCATATTTGGTTTGGAATTTCCAAGTACATAAACAATTATTTTATATAATTTATCGAAACGGTCATATCACCTGAAGTATACAAATGTCGTGAGTGAAGAATTAATACAAAAAATACGTACTGATGAAATCGGGTAGGTTGCGGTAATTGGAGAAACGGCCGGTGGGGCGGCCGGTCGGAGAATCGATCCCGTAAGGCGGCGAGTCTGCCTTCACCGTCGTATCCAAGTAATTGTTGTTTCCGCTGTCCCCACGGGAACCGCCGAACACATATAGCGGGATAAAATCCGGGTCGGACGCACCGACCCGGCCGGCGACCAGACTACAGTAGCCCAACATGGCTAAGCCCACGACCAGGCCCACCATCTTCGCCATTGTAGTTATTATGTGATAATGGAGTCGATGGGTTAATTTCTAGGGAAAAGCCAAGCCATGAGAGGCTCTTTATATAATAATGCACGGGAGATCGAGCAAATTATCATCACTCACTCTCAATACTCTTTTTTTCTACTCACTCCCCCACGTCTCTCTCTCTTGTTTCTTTTCTCGTCACTTCATTTTCTCACGTCCACTTGCACACACAGCAAAAACTTCTCTCACTTCACATTCATTTTATATAGTCGTCTGATTGATACAAATCTAGCTTCCGGGGAGAGAGGGCATAGATTGTAACATATTATGTACCAAACTCTCCAGATCCCGTGTTGGAGGACTGCCATATAGTGACATATCTGATTTAAATATTGAAGGGTACGTATGTATCTTTATGAGAGCGAAATTTTTGTTGTTGATCTTGTTTTGTTAGAACCATTAGAGCATACTACAGTACCAGGCTCTGATACCATAACAACAAAGTTGAGTTGGGGGAAAATGAAACCCTAAAGTCTTGGGTGTTTCTCATTCATACTTGGATTTAAATAGGCAAAAGCTTTGCACTACAAGACAACATGTGCAAGCTAGCATTTGGAGACTACAAAGATAAACATTAACTCAAGTCTAAAGTCTAAAACAAACATTGACATTAAACTAAGCTTGATGATGATGATTTCCTCTAAACCTTGTCGATCCACTTTGACATTCATGGTCACCGGTTTGAGTCTTGACGATAACTTGAAATATCTCTTGATAATCGATGGTACTTGTTTCTAGATTTAAATAAGATTGAGACCTGAATTGACATTTAAAAACTCTCTTTTTATGTCAATAATCAATCATATATGATCATTGATGATCAAGTTTTTGTGTTTCACTACCAGACCAAGAGAGATTTGTGTCAAACCGGTTTATAAGATAGATTTTTACCCACTCGTTCATATTCATATTTTCAACCTTCGTCATTGCTGAGCTCGTTCTTTAAATTGAATCCAGAGTTGGTTCAAATTTTAAGAACGCAGATTTTTACCAGACTCATTCAGATTTGCGTGTCTTTGTCATTGCCAATTTCGTTCTTTAAAATTGATTCCAAATCCGTGATTTAGTTATGGATCGATTCATAACCTCTGAACCTCAAGCATGAAGTCAATGACCGAAACAATTAACACATCTGGAACAAGAGATTAAGCTAATATAAGTTTGTTTTTGTATAATATTCTGAAATATAATTTTTATATTTAACGGGATCGAGTACATCGAGTTGTCAAAGTAACCAGCATTACAAATTACATGGAACCTGACCCTTTCTCGATCATGAATCCCAAGAAGAGTCAGCTCAGAAGCCCATACATATTACAGACTTTATAGTTTATTCCCCCTCAATCATAAAGTACGTAAGAAATAAAACTTGCATGCATGAAAATAGATAGATCAAACATGTAGGTCTCGTGTTCCCATGGCCAGCATGGAATTGAGGTTCATGGGGAAGACAACGTCGGAAGAACCTCTCAAGATGGCTTCGGCAAAGAGCCCCAGAGCCCTGTCGTCGGATTGGTCGGATCCCAAAAGACGTACTCATCCCTGTTCGGACACAGATTCGACGCAGGCGTACATTGCCCTAATCCGTTATAAGGACCCTGCCCGCAACAAGCCACCCTCGTCTCCGTAAACCCTGAACAACATCATCATCATATAAAACGAATCTCAATTCACACTACAACATAGGGCTGGCAATTTGGACCGGGACCGGATTGAAAACCGGAAACCGGACCGTAAAACCCGGACCGTTTTAAGATCGGGACCGGATTTAAAACAATCCAATCCAGTCTTTGGTCTTAGAATTAGCAAAAAACCCGGACCAATCCAGTCCGGGTCAAAACCGTGTAAAAACCGGAAGACCGGATGAGTAAAAACAGACCAAACCAGAAAAAATTCGGACCAAAGGCAAAGCCCATAAGGGCACAAACAGCCCACTCCCGGCGGCCCATAGAAGCCCGTTTAGAACTTTTGAGTTGTGGCCTGTAGGGTTGGCAGCGCCTCTCGTCCTCTGACTCTCTCCATTCCATCTTGTTCTTGGCATCGCAGGCAGCGCAGTCAACAGAGAGTCAGAGACGCACCGGCAGACAGACGCCATTTTTCTTCTTCCATCCCAACCGAACAAAGAGCAGGCTGGCGCGCCGCCCTCAGTCACGCAGACCGACCCGCCGCCCTCAACTCGCCTCCGCGCCGACCCACCTGCTCCGACCACCTCCGCTTCGACCCAGCGACGACGGCGACGGCATCGGCTTCCACCCAGGCAGTGACGACGCGGCGCCGGCTCAGCTCCGACCATCAGACGCGACTATTGGGGAACTGGGAACAGGCGAACAGCTGCCGAACTCAACAAAATGGAAGGGAGCAGCAGCTGGGTAAGTGCCAGGGTTGCTGGGTAATTATTTTTATTTTATTTTAATGCCCTCCATCATATATCAATCTATTCTTTCACTTTCACTTTTGCCAACAGAAACAACAACCATTATTTCCTTATAGTCTAAAAGGATTGCTGCATTTGAATGGTGGAATGTGATATACCAGGGTTGATGAGTTTATTATCGATTGGTTTTTGTTTGTTCTTCCATTGGATTGAATTGGATTGAATTGGACTTTGAGTTTGTAATAGACATGAATGATGGTTGTGATTTTGTATTGGACTATGTTTGGCTTGATTTTTGCTACAAACAGGTTGTCTACATTCCTGGAAAATGGGTACATGTTGCTGAATTTTTTGCAACATGGTCAAAACCGGATTGGGACCGGACTGGGTCAAAACCGGACCGGGTCAAAACCGAACTGTACCCAATCCAAGTTTTGGTCCCAATATTTCCAAAAAGACCGGACTGGACAGGATCAATTCGGGCCAATTTAGCCGGACCGGACCGTATTGTCACCCCTACAACAAATACAATTTCTTACAACGAAAAACTTTTGCGTCGCAAAAGCATCTCTGTCTTTCTTGCGACGCATGATAGCATCTGTGACGATATATGCACCGTTTTTCATGGCGAAAACGAAGGTCGCGACTCGGTTATTACACGACAAAAGACAATCGTTGTTTCGATGAAAATCTCCCATTACCAAAAGTGTTGTTTCTTATAGTGTTAAATGTTGTAAAGCAACTTGGAATGACAATGGGGCACGTCCGGGCAAGGATCTTGATAGCCATACCCGGCTAGTGACGGGGTGGGTTCGGGTTGGGTAATTTAGCATGGGTCAAGGGTCGGGGGGGTCGGGGCTGGTCGACCCAATGGGTATGCAATTTATATGAAAAACATTAGAAATATTTGTTATTTTCATTATGATAGCAAGAAAGCAAAACATGTTATGATAAATATATAGTTAAATTATTAGAAATTTTGAGGTTTTCACTAATTTATAACTTTATTATAGCTCATATATGATGTAATAAAAGCAAAATTCTAAGTAATTTAAATAATATTACATGCAATTTAAACAAGAATAAGTCGAGAATGGGGCTGGTCAAGATAAATCGGGTCAATTAGAAAAAAAGTCGACGGTCGAACCCATCACATTACTTATCAAACAGTTCGGGTAAAACAAAGTAAGTTTGAAATTTTCATCCTAAAAGCTTACTATTGTATGCATAAATATAAAGTTACCGTAAGCTTCGGGATTGCTGCGGAACGCGGTGTACAATGTGACGGAATTGGCAGCAGCGACGAAAACCAAACCGAGTCGACCGTTCAGCTGCTGAACCAACCGGTTCAGCTCAGAGTTGAAGAGAGACGCCGCGTTCACGAGCTCCGGATCGCACTCCCCGCCGGCCGTGCTGCCCCTGGTCGCCAACTGCGCCGGCAAGCACCCGAACTGGCTCGCCCCGGTGACCAGCGTCCGGCGAGCCCCCAGCTCGTACAGCCTCAGCAGGTAGTTTGACAGCTCGGAGATCAGGAGATCGACGAACTCGCCGACGGTGTACTGGCTGGCGCGTGCGGAGAAAGGGCGCGTGTAGTAGTTGTTAGCGAAATCGTCGGAGCCGACGGCGAAGAGGAACACTCCCTGGTTGACTAGCCGCTCGGCCTGTTCTCTTCCTCCGACCACCGCCGCCAGCTTGTTCTTGTATTGCTGAAAGGCTAGCAACTGCTCGGGGATTCTTATTGTGTTGCCCTACGTACCAAAAATTGTATGGTTAAATTATTTATTCGTTAACATGATATATGATAAATTCCCCCCCCCCCCCCCCATAATTTGGTATTGCTCAGATACAATTTATTATGTGTCAAATCAAATTCACGTAACATCATTTTTGGAGCATATATATTAGGATAGTTTTCTCGAGGAATTTTACTATGTTATATAGCATTGGTGCTATAGATTTTCCCCTTTATGGTATAACTTGAAGTTATACCTTTAACGTTATGGTACAACTTTAGATTGTACCTATACTCTTTTGTACAAATTGTTTCATGGTACAACTTGAACTTGTACATTTATGAGATGGTATAACTTTAAGTTGTAAAGTTGTATCATAACATAAGGGTACAAATTCTTTTATGGTACAACCTAAACTTATACATTTAATATTATGGTACAACTTCAAGTTGTACATTAAAACACCCATACTTTGCACATTAAAATTAGGGTTAATACCCTCGTTTGGCCCGAAGTTTAGTGTAAGTGACAGTTCTGGCCTCATTTTTTAAATAAGACATTTATAGCCTACTTTTGAAATTATTAGACAGATTTGGCCCGGAATTCTCTTTGACCGTTAATATTGACAGTCAAACACTATTCTGTTAGTGACTCAGAAAAAAATAACTGATGTGGCATGCCACGTCATTAAATAATATTTTTTAAATTTTTTATTTAATTAAAATTAAAAATAACTATTAAGAAATTAAATAAACCCCCTTCTTCTCCCAAATTTCCAAACCAAACCCTAAATCTAAATCAAACTCTACCGCATCCTTATCATCAACAACTACGCCGTCCCCAGAAGCACATTCCAT